CTCGTAAAGACAAATCCAATCCTCACAAACCAAACTCTTGAAAATTCTCCTTATTGCTTAGGGAGACATAAATAAACAAACACACATATTTTCAAATGATGGTTTGCAGCGATTTGAGTGATTTCGATTTAGCCAACGAAATGACTTTATTCGGAGAACAAGTACAACCCATGGAATAATTGACACGACTGTTTCGTCCCGGTTTAAGACTCCTTAGTAGTACACACTCATGGCTCCACTGGCGATCTCGGATCCAGTACCATCAAGTTAGGAGGCCATCTAGTTGAGCATTCAGTTTTTCGGACAGAATCCCTTTGCTCATGATTTCAAGCTTCTGCCAATATACGATACATAACGCATATTCTCAAAGAACCCATTACATTGCTGCGTAACACACTAGTTAGCTGTCAGCCCCACCTAACCACGCAGCTCCACCAAATTCGTCTTTCAAGATTATCCACAAGGTGAAACCAAATGGTACAAAGGGAGTCATGCTTCGGCATTTGTATATGGCGGAGGTGTTGGCAATTCGTCAATACAACCCCAAACTCTGTATGCAGAAAAAGTTTGTCCAGTCTCCAATTCCACCATGGTCTTAACCTCTTCACTAGTCGTTCCCTGTAAAAAAACTTTAATTTTCTTATAATTTTCAATTTTACTTTTAGTTTGTTTTTACTTTAATAATTATTTCGCTATTATCACTTTCATATGTTTCTTTTGTACATTTTCACACCCTCTTCACACTTTTAAATTGGCACTCAACTACCTTTATTCTCACTCAATAACAATTCTAACATAATCACATTTCTAACCTTTTCTTCCTTTGTGACGTTGAGTACCACGTAATTTACAACTTTTATTTTTACTTCTAAGGCCACTTCCGAGTAATTATATCAATTATGCCACCCTCTGTTACTCAATAATAAACTACTATACATTTTTGGTAGATATAAATACGACTGTATGACAGCCTGTGAAGATGATTTTTTCGCAAAAGAAAATTTTCTTCGCTGAATTGTCTTTTACTTTTTTTCATGACTCAATGGGTATTTTCTGTGATTTGAAGCAGAGCAAGAACACTGTGACAGTGAAAGAACTTGATACGTCTCTTAAGTTTTCTGTCAAGCTTGCCATAATGAACCATGTAATCATAAATTTATATTAATACCTCAATAACAATAGTATTATTGCATATATCTGGTATAAAATAATCGATGAAACTGGGCATATAAGAGAATTTTCTTAGATGTCTTTCGTTTAAATCACGTGCACTTTGGAAAAGGCTCAATTAAAATTCGTAGGACAAAGTCTTGGTGTGAAATTTTGGTATAGTTAGAAACAACTGGACGATAACCTTTAAAATCCAACCAGACAGTCACGCGAATCCTAAAAATGATAGAAGGTTACTGGTGGGCGGATATAAATAACTGATTAAGCATTGTATATGATACTTTGATCGAAAAAGGTTATCCTGACAAATTTATCAAGGAACACATGACAAAGAAAGCGTAAAAGGACTACTCACTATCTGTAAACAAGAAGCCACTCTATATACGACTACAATTCAAGGGCGATATACCAAGTGAGATAATTACGAGGAAATTAAGAAAATCAGTCCAAAGAACTTTTAATGCTGGCGAACTACACGTCTTATTCTCTACACGACCGATGGTGCTACCTCGACTGAAAGATGAAGTACCTAGACTAGCCAGTTCAAATTGTATCTACCAATTCAACTGCGCTTGTAGTGGAGCGAGTTATATTGGCCGTTGCTCTAGGAACTTGATTTTTCGTGCTCACTCGAGAACATCTCCCACTATGGCTAAGTAAAGTTGTAATGAAAACCATCAACAGTTCGATATTGGACCATCTGGTGCAAACCAGCCACAGAGCCAGCGTAGAAGAATCATTCTCGATAATATACGGGGTGCCTAACAAACTACCAAAATCGTCGAAGCACCGCATGCTCAAAATAGCAGAGGCTATTGCAACTCGCCTCAAACAACCAGTGCTCTGTGTTCAAAAGAAACAAGTCCAGCCCCTACTACTGCCCTGGCCCTCAGTAGAAACTATAAACTCATGAATTTGTACTATTATCTTTCATAATTCTTCTGACATTCAGTTTATTTTATGTTGATGCTGTTCAGTTGTAATCTATCAATATTACTGATTTGATGTTATTTAAACATTAATGTCGTTCATAAGACTAATTCATTCATTCATTATAATGTATATATAATTGTAGAACCTGACGATGAATTTATCGAAAAGAGTACTCTTTGTTCTGCGTCCATTCTTTTGGATATAAATAAGCATATATAGGCTTTACATAAAGTCACTTCTGACTAATCTTATGGTGTTAGCCAGTCTGGTATCTACACATGAAATTACGTAGTCATTGAAGTGCACTGATTAAATTCCCTCCGGTTACAACCTCCTCATTCTCCTGCAGTAACGGGCAGTATAACAAATATTTCAAGTCTGAAAACGGATTGATATCAGCTAGATAAATAGTGAAAACGAAGGTGTATTGGACAGCTGTTCTGTCCAGTTTGTAACTCTTCGTCAGTATGCATCCATTGAGATTTTAATCCAGGACTTCCCGATTACAAGGCGAGCTCATTCAACCACTGGACCCAACTGAATGGGTGCTTGCTACCGATGAGTCCCAAACTAGGACAAAGCATCTATCCGGTACTCCCTGGTTTTCAGTAGTTCTCTAACTGATATCAGTCCGCGATCGAGCTTGAAACAAATAAAAATCCACGCAAACTAACTCATGAAAAATTATCTGATGCTTCCTAGTGGCTGGCTACGGGACGAAGTTATCCAGAGTCCTAGTGAAAAGTTGCGTTCAGTGGGGTCCAGCCGATCGGATTTGAGGACAAGTAATGTCTGCTAGAAGCTGAAATTCATGGGTCGTCGACTTTGTCTTCAGTAGCTTTGAGATGAGCTAAAAATGAAGCTGCGAATAGACCTTGCCCGTCCCACTGCTTAACGACGCACGCAGATGTTCCAAAATCCGACGATAAATGTGTCTAATTAAAATCATAGTGTAACTGGCTGATAGATTCACACGTAGGAAGCAAAGTTATGGAGTTTATCCTTGACTACCGAACGTAAAATAGGGGGGTGGTCGTGAAGAGACAGTGACTTCATCGGTACTGAATTCCCTTTTAACTGCATTCTATAAACAGCATATCTCCACGATTTTCAGCTAGCTCCACAACTATTCATAGAATTGTTTACCTTCATGAAAATACAAAAGTCTCTGATCAGAATAGTATTCATGTGACCTAGAATGAAAAATAATGATTAAGCAAATTGATCACTCTATGGTAAGCTGTATGCTTAACAGGTGAAAAGCTCAATTCTACAAAAAAATATGATCACCACATCATAACTGCGTTAGAAAACACGACACAGCGGTGTGATTAATCTCAAATATTATGAATAGCTAGGTAACTCTGGTCAAATATTCATCAACCAACATTGAAATCAGCAAATATACCACTAAGTTTATGAGACTACAATCACAAACAGCCGTAGGATAAGATGAATCATTGATAGATTATTATTATATTATTATTGTTCCCTTGGGTTCCTAGTGGAACATAGGGCTTCAACTGCACGTCTCCACTTGCTTCTGTCTTCTGCTGTACTTTTCACCTGCATCCATGTTAGTCCATACTGTTTCAGCTCCTCTTCACACGATCTCCTCCATGTCACCCTTGGACTTCCCACTCGTCGCTTCCCTTTCGGGTTCCACTCTAGCACTAGCCTGACGCGCGATGTTACCCAACGGCCTCCTCAGCGAGTGTCCAATCCATCTCCACTTTCTCCTGCATATTTGTTGAGCGATTGGTTCTTGTTTTGTTTGTTCCCATAATTTCTTGTTGGTGATTCTTTCTGGCCATCTTATCTTCAGTATAGAGCGAAGACAGTTGTTGATAAAGGTCTGCAACAGGCTGTTGGAAATATTCTTTGTGACCCGCTGGCCAAGTTTCTGATCCATGCGTATAGAAGAACTGACTCACTTGACGTTTGTATTGAAAATCCGAATTTTGTTGTTGATGCAGGCTGAGTGACGAGGATTTCCAGATTGGTTTCAGGTTGGTGAATGAGTTTCTCGCCTTTCCGATTCTCGACTTGACAGCCTCGTCCGTTCCTCCTGTGGTTGAGACAATTCTCCCTAGATAAGTGAAAGAAGTAACCTCTTTCAAATCCCTCCCGTTGATGGTGATTGGCGCTGGATGTTGCTGCTGTTGTTGTTGGTTGGTCATTTTCATAACCTCCGTCTTGTCTATGTTCACCTGGAGTCCTGTCTTTGCTGCTTCTTCGACCAGTTTGTCGGTTTTCGCTTGTTAGTCTTCGATTCTGTGTGACATCAAAGATAAATCATCCGCGAAATCATTGATAGATAGTCAGAAATAACGAGTCTTCTCTTACCATTCTGGTTTATTATTGTATTTGTAACTCTGAAAAATGTTTAATTCCAGTGTGACATCTTTCCAGTGAAAGATAATAAAATGTGGAGGTTTCTCCACGACCCTACAGCTATAAAACATTTATAATACTGAAAATTTTAACATGCAAGAAGAAGGAGAGAACCTCACCAAGTCTTCATTGTCAGAGGCATGTATATATTATTTACCAAATTCATTAAAAATAAAGATGAACAAATTAGAATATTTCAAAACCTACATTCACACTAACCATTATTCTTCAATGGAATAAAAAAAATAAATACAACACGTAATTACTATTATTATACTATCCTCGTTATTATGATCACGTCTATCTATCTAAATTGGTATGATGAATTCAAAATCACGATTTGTAGGCATGATAGATAAAATCAGTAAATGACACGCCCACAGAAAATTAACCAATAGTTAAAAAGTATTTTTCTTAAGTCAGAAATAATGACCTTGACCAATTCAAGGGTATAAAATATATAATATTATCACGTAATCAACAACATGCCGTATATGCGTGACTGCCAGCTGACTTAATTGTGATAGGTTAATCTAAAACAAATTTAACTTAAATGTCCTTATTCAACTAATTCATTGGTTAATCCATTTTTCTTAATAATACGTAATCGGGCGTGCCAAATTATAAACAAAAGTATACTTTTGTATAAATATCTGACAGCAAATTTAAATTTCGTTACTAAATTATATAGGTATCATTATAGAAAGTACATAAGAGTTATGGGTATAGCTTATGAGTCTTTATATGTACCTGTTGCTACTGTGGAATCAGAATTTGATAAGGTTAGTGAAATTTCTTACATATATTGTATATTTTTGTCGAATGACTTTTTATTTTAAACACTCATTATTATGTAATAAAGACGTCACTAAATTAAAACAGTCTGGGATATCATTCGATGATATGAGACCTGAATGTACTTGAATTCCATTGGATAACAGTATTTCTACTGATGCTAAGATATTATCTATTACATCACTAACCATTAGGTGTAATTCTACGCATATTGTGACTTTACTAGATAAAGAAAATCCTACCTGATAATTAGACTTATTTATGAAATAATTTACTGGAAGGTGATTCGCAGTGGAATCTAGGAGGCAGATTTCGTCCTATTTAGGACTTGTCGTCTGGATGCACCTATATTCTCCAGTAAGGGATACTGTTCCCATCCTGGATTCCACTGCTGATCACCATTCACTTAATTACTTTAAGTTAAATCATTAGACATCGTCGAAGCATCCGCACAAGGAGCTGCCATGTCAGCATGAGGCTGGACACTTCGGTCCAGTCAGTCACAAAGAAAAATACAAATTAAATTATGTATGAAATGCCAGTGTCCGAGGTTAGCAGAAGACCTCTTTTATGACATTCAAAACGATATCCATCTAATTACAATACTAATACTATACAAAAACACGGAATAAAGCCAAGAACACTTCATGTACAGTGTTGCATTATGATGGGAGACAAAATCATATAAGATGTAAAGATAATATTAGGCGTATAAGAAATTCACTCTAACTTTCATCTGGTACACGAATAAATCACGCCTAAAAATAGCTAATCTTAATCTTACCTCCCAAAGCCTCAACCTTCAATTACAAAATAAACCATCAATCTCCATTTCATCACTGCGGAATAAAGTTACGCCACACCTCTTCTTAGTTTCTTTCACCATTGGTAAAAACGTAAGTGGCAACAATTTCTGATTCAGTTTCTTTTCTTTTTGCCTCTAGAAATATAAAACGTAAGCTGAATTCTTCATCGTTTCACACATAGTCAGAAAATCAGTAGTGATAGGTTCACTGTAGATATCCTTTCTTTCCCCGGTCATTGTTTCAATTCTGTTAAAAAGGAATTTTAAATTCAGCGCCATTTCTTTTAATGATTGCTAAAGATTCACTGGGATAGATTTAGTTTAATTCTGGACATTTGTTTCATTGTAATGTAGTCAAAAAATAATAATTTAAAAGACCTTTAATGTGAGAAAGACAATATCTTTCTTTTTAAGATCACTTTCGGGGGAAAAAAACCTAGATTTGCGTGATTGTGTTAGTTTGTTTCAAAACTTCCTGGAATCCTCCGAGTAAAGTCAGAGTTATTTTATGTTTAGCCTATGGCGTACGTCGTGATCTATACTACTAGAATAGTGAACAGACCTGTGGTTCACCAACCGTTTAACCTGTTGTTTTCCGAACCTAGGCTACATAAGTTCGCAAACTCCTACACACATTTTACATGCAGCTGGCTGTATGTTGATGTGGCCTACAGACTTATACAACACTTAATTCGGATGTTGATTCACTTGTCACTGTTTCTAGATGGCCAGACAACCCTGTTATTCCACACACACACACACACACACACACACACACACACACACAATAGGTGTAACTTTTTGCAGAATGTATTAATAGATAAGTGACTGCTGAATAACCACCTTTTATTTTGTCGACTTTTCTCCTTACAGATCAACGAAATGCAAGCTGCGGAAGTTCTTTTATCATTAGCCAAGGGAACATGTAATAACTGGTCAATATTTACACAAAATGTATCATCAATAAATCAAAATTCCTACTTTACAACAAATCATAAAAATATTCTAAAAGAGTCAAGTGTAGCAGATGAGATGAAAGTAAAAGCTGATGAAAATAATGATGATTGTAATAAATCCTCTTATATAAGCACATTGGATAGAAATTTACATCGGAATTTAAAATTTAAACTTCATCGAATTAAATCTTCAAGATCATCACCTAATATTAAAAGATTATATCAAATACCAGATGATATGAGTACTCCTCACAATTTGGAATCAGTTTCTTTTCAAATGGATAACAGCAATAATATGAGTTCAAAAGTGAGTTGAAATTTGATTTTTTTCTAATTTAGTGTTTAGTTTTAAATTAAGAAAGGTTGGATATACTAGGCAAACTTTTGTCCACTAAGTGTTTCTAAGAATTTAGTGTTAATGTTGGTTAGTGGTGCCAAAAGGTTATCGATAAGAAGAGGACAGGAATCAATAAATTATGTCATTATTCTGTATGAATGTACGTAGTCAAAGTTTATCTTGACAAATATAATAATTTGGGATTCATCGGCTGTACCCACCCACTAAGTTTTGAACCCACGACCTTCCGGTTACAAGGCAACCTCGTATACTATTCAACGAGAGTAACGATAGTGTTGGTGTGTCATGTTGTTCAAACTTCATTACACATGAGATCCTGAAAACGGTAAAGACACACACTTGTAATTATTGTACATGCATGTTTTTATGTTGATATATTAAATAAATATATCCATTTCAAGTTTGATATCGGATTGATACCAGTTAGAGGACCACTGGAAACCATGGAGTACTGGACAGCAATTTCGTCCTAGCTTGGAACTCTTCAACAGTACACACACATCGGTATTTCAACTATGGATCTTCCGGTTACAAGGCGAGCTCGTAGACGATTCAGCCACTGGGACTGGACACAATGCTGCACTAATGAAGAATTTCAAACTAGGGTGAAACAGCTGTCCAGTGCTCCAGCGCTGGTTTTCAATGATTCACTGAATGACATCAAAATTGAAATAGTTAAAAATCCCTACAAAATAATTCTCGAAAATATTTTCCTTGTTGCCTAATATTCTCTCTCTCCTTATGTCTAGACATTATTTTTATTCACTCTTAGTGATTCCTGCTTTGTTACAGTAATAACTAAGTGACTACTGTGTGACATATTGTGCGAATAAAATCAATCAGGTTTATGTTGAAATCTAATCTATGCATAAGCGAATAAAAAATGCATGTTTATGTTACACTGCCACATTGCTTCATTTTGATATTTAATATTTGAAAGACATATTATAGCCTCTTTAAATACGATTTTTATTGCCCAGAAGTCACATGAATATTGCTATTATTTGTGAGTGTAGCAGTTTCACCAAGTTGGTATTAGATGGTTGGAGGCAATCGGCCACAGGAAGCCTTGGACCTAGGTTTCGTGCTAGTTGGCAGTCATCAGCAAGGCATATCTGCAACCTTGAAGGAACTGATGTCCCTTCTGAGATTCGAACCCGCATCACCCAGTGCTGCAGTCAGATACGTTACCAGTGAACTATTTGGGCTTGCGACTGACCTCCTGTAGGATTGTATTGGATATTTTTGATTGAACACTAATCAGTAACAGACTGACAGCAAACATGACTGATAGAATTAAGTCTGCACCGAAGATAGGACTAGACACATTACACTAGTTACTGACTAGTGTTCAATCAAAAGTTTCACCAAGTATTGAATCTCATGAGGTTAGTTGCTGGGGTGAGGGGTAGGCGATTGTACCTGTTTTACCTGTGCATCAGAAGTCGAGTGTCTAAATTATCATTGCATGCACTGACAATCTAGAGACAGATTCCTTAGAAATCATAAATATGTGCAGTACTGAAAATTCCCAATATGGGAAGGGAGAAGCTTTTCATTCCTCCTCAATGCATGTTACCATCCAGTTCAAGTCACCAAGTTGAAATTCAATGAATGGTCTATCCTTTCTCAATCCCCCCCCCCCAGACTTATGAGATAGTTACATCATTCAGTCAGTATATCCCAAAAATTATCCAGTCAACCTAAACTGTCCTGGAGAGTAATTTATTATGGGAACAATTAAAATGCATTATGCTTTACTCATTTTCGGATAATTTTTATGTTAAACCAAATCAGTCTTTTGTGTGTGTGTGTGTGTTTGTTTGTGTACGTACGTCTGTGTCTGTTTCTATTCTTACTCTGTGTTGCCTCTGCTACATAACAAAACCACATACGCAAATATGATTTATATTTCCATTATGTCAAACAAATATAATTTGATTTTCAAGCAGCAACACGCAAAGTCGACCAAATTTTGTCTATATGAGAATAGAAAAAAATATCAATTGATGAGAAATGTGCCTTTTAATGATGCTGACTACTGAATTTTTGCAACAGCTAGCAGACAGTGAGGCTCATTCTCAAAAGCTAAACAGACGAATCCATGTTCCGTTTTTGTAATTGTAAACTTTCTATCCTTAAAGTGTAAATACATTATATTCGTAATGAAATACAATGAGGGAAGATCCTTTGTGAATCTTTTCAACGCTTTCTGACAGTATAGAGGGATGAAAAAGTACTCCATCATGTTAAAAGCTTATCATCCCACCTTTATTTCCTTCTCTATGGATCAACAGTTCCTTAAACCTTGATTTGAGTGGCTTGATTTATGAATGCTTCTCATTATTTTATTCGATCTACGTAACTTTTGATTGATCATATCTCTTTCATTCAATTCGTTATTGTACACAGACGTACCAACTGTTATGTTGCATAAAGGTATAGGCACACGACTTCATCAGCCTATCAGTTTTATGGTAATAGTTAACTGGTGGAAAATAAATTAGACTTAGTGAGATATCGGAATTTCGAACCTCAAGCAAGTGACTTAAGCCTAATTAACTAGATAACATCAGTAAACCCTGCAGTTAGTTAGCGAAACTAACAATCTCTAGATTGAATTCCGCATTCCCTTAGTTTCATTATCACATTCTAATGTATTCAGTGTAGAGGCTTATTGCGGTAGACTGTGTTGGTGTCAAAGCGGTAGAATGCTCGCCAACCATGCATTGTGGTTTGGGGTTCGAGTCCCAACCGACTCACTCTTTTACCTCTTTAAGCCAGTAATAAGACTGGTGAAGAGGAAAGAGGCTATCAACCCCATCCGGTAAAAATCAACACCACTGCCACTGAAACTTCAGACCTCTAGCTTGGAGCCCTATGTTCCACTAGAAACATAAAGGGGAAACATAATCATTGTAGAATGCGATCCCAGAGGGTATAATGCACACACACAACGATATATTATTTATAAACTGAAAAGTAACGAAGGTATAAGTTATTCATCTTCAAAGCCAAATTCTACATTTCTTTCTTGTGCAATTTTAGACATCACAGATTCCTATGCAAACATTACGACGAAGTCAAGAATCTGTCTACAGTCAACCGTCTATGAGTGATCTGAATTCACACTGGTTAAATAATATCCCTTGTTATGCTTCAAATCCTAATGGTTGTAAATCATTCCCAACAATACGAACCAATGGAATGGATGAATATTCTTCTAATGCTACATCATCCCCACTTATGGATCAATGTGATCAACTGACTATCCACCAAGAAAATCTATCCACATTAACAATAAAAATGACAACTGCTCCCGCTGTTTCTGATCAGCCCAATACTCGAGTGAACTTTACGCTTGATGATGATTGTGACTTTACATCGAATGCACCCTCGAATCATGAAGATATTAATAACAATAACAGTAGTAATGATTATCACAGTTCTGATCTTTTTAAGCTAAATGAACAGAATGTCTTACGTGTTCCTTCAACCAACTCTGATTTGACGAATTATGTCCATGGAACTAATACCATCCGATCATGTTATTCAGATTCACAACTTCTACGACAAAGTTTAGTTGACTTTTCTCAAGGAACCTTGTCTAATCAACAAATACTAAATAGACGAATTACAGAAACGATGACATCTGTAAGTACTTATTTTGGTTATTTTCATTTCACTTGTAAAACTACTAAGGAATCTGTCTAAGACAGCCATGGTTCGGTTGTTCAATCTTATTACAATAAAGAACTATTTGCTGCTGGCTAACAGTTAGTGAAACTGTGAAAAGGTGATACCAACGAAGTTGGATGCATGGCAGTTATTCAGGAGTTACATTTGAAGGCAATCATAGCAAATTTTGGATTTACGAGTTGATCATGGATTGATATCAGTTAGAGAACCATTAAAAACCAGGGAGTACTGGACAGCTGTTTGTGGATTACTGAAAAATGAAAAAAAATGACTATTTGAATCGTGTCATGTGTGTTAAAAAACTTCCTATGAGACTTAATTCCCAGGTTTTCGACCTCACACAAACCGGTAGATACTAGTGGCCAGCTTCAATTCGTCATACTGAGCTGCATATTTCATTGGCTTTTAGCAGTTCGATAGCTGGTGATAGTTCGTGGTGAAATACCTTCAAATGTAGTAGTAGTAGGTTTAAGTCTAAACGGAGCTAGGGTGTAATATATCGGAGAACCGATACCGTTAAATTCAAGCTCAGAACACTGCTCAATGAAGGTCAGTATCATTCAGATTTATATACTATACAATAAGATATCCCTACTGTGTAAAGGTTATTGTTGATGTCTGCGATTTATAATTCAGCAATTCAAGCGTCTGCTGAACCTGTGACTAGCTGGTAGTCAGATGTTTGTTCTAATAAACCACACCCACTAATGCAGGAGGAATATTGACGGTTGAAAGATTTTTATAGGTATTCATTCCGCTTTTACACCATTCTAGTCCATTATAATAATTGGCATATGCATTGGCGTCCCCCAGATCTTTATCAACCTTACTCAACATCTAGCTATGTGACAATGTGAAGTGTCAGGTGATCTACCAAGGAAAAATCAGCGAGGTGTTCGAAGTGAATACAGGAGTAAGATAAGGTAATCTGACTATTATCACCGATGATATTCTTAATTATGGTCGACGGGATTATGCGTCAGACTGTGCGTGGGGAATGAGAAGACAGGTATACTCTGGACCACCGATAAGAAGACTCTAGAAGATCTGGATTTCGCAGATGATATATGTTTAATGTCACACAAACTCGAAGACTTGCAAACAAAAACCAACAAACTGGTTGAAGAAGCAGTGCAGAGGAGACAGGACTGACTCCAGGTGAAAATAGAGAAGACAGGGGTGATGAAGATAACCAACCAACAGCAACAACAACCAGCACCAATCACCATAAATGGAAGAGTTTTGACAGAGGCTTAAACTACAGGCAGACAGCACAGATGAAGATTTCAAAGACAGGATCGGAAAGACAAAATACGCCTTCTTCAACCCGAAGTCGGTCTGGAAGTCTTCCGCACTCAGTCAGAATAAAGAACAACATTCGGATTTTCAACACCAATGTCAAGTAGGCCCTTCTATATGGGTCAGAAACTTGGCATGTCATGAAAAGGATTCCCAATAAATGACGGACTTTTATCAATAGCTGCCTTGGCTGACTCCACACTGAAGAACAAATGGCCAGGAAGAAGTAGCAACAAGAAACTCTGACTGAGAACAAATCAACCAAGAGCCGATTGCTCAGCAAATATGTAGGAGGAAGTGGAGATGGGTCAGGCACACGTTAAGGAGGCCGTCGAGTGACACCGCGCGCAATGCAGACCATCGCTCGAGTGGAATCCCAATGCGAAGCGACGAGAAGGTCGTCCAAGGGTGACATGGAGGAGAAGGTGGTGTTCATCATGAGCTGACATCGGTTAGGGAACCACTGGAAAACCTGGGAGTACTGGACAGCTGTTTCGTCCTAGTTTGGGACTTTTCAGTAGTACGCAGCCACCTCGGTAATTTCTTTCGGTACACTATTTGATCCAGTGTAATGATTTGTTTGAAAAAGGGATTTGAATTAATAAGATAACATGGCTGAGACACAGTCAGAGATGCTACCAAGGTTATCGACAAGAGTGAACATATCAGACATTTCCATTACTGATTATATATCCCACTGTTTTAATAATAACAATAATAATTTACTGTAGCTTTTAATTATCCACTGAGTGTAAGGAATTCAATTTTCTTTCCATGTATTCCAGCATAATCTTGACAGTTACTTACCAACTATTTCTGAACCATCAAGTGATTCACGATATGTCAACGACGACTCCAACTGTCAGTCATATAGTTCAACTGATCAAACACCTAATAACACATCACATGATCTAATGATGGATACAAATCTACAGACTGTAAACTCGATCACAGCGCCACAGACAAACACAAATACTACCTCAGTGTTTACCAGCAATAACAATAATAATAGCAATAGTAACAACAATGGTTTAGAAAGAGTTAAATCTCATCGATGCAATTTTGATGGTTGTACAAAAGCCTATTTCAAAAGTTCTCATTTAAAAGCACATATTCGTGTTCATACAGGTAGGTTTTCCATTGATATCATTGTTAATATTATTTTTATTATTATTATTATTACTAATATTACTATGAGTATTTTGAACATCCACTCATACACTTGTGTATATGCACGTGAACTCCTTAAGAAGGTTGAATCTAGTAAATTGGAGTATTTTAACACTAACGTTATAAGCTTAAATAGTGAAAGAACAACTATGGTAGAAGGTTAACACAATACTGTGTATGATGTAAGGACCATATGAGGAAATTAAAAAGTCTGCAGTCACAACTATGAATAATGTCAAAAAACCTACTAGTAATCTAGTACGCCGTATGAAGTCATCTTTGAGTGAGTAAAAATCGTTTAATCTTATGCCTAGAACTAATAATCTTAGTAGAAAGTACGAGACTATAAAAATTCATAAAGAAGGATACCCTATCAAGCCAATAGTTGACTATATGAACACCCTGACGTACGAGTTATCTAAGTATTTAGCATCAGCATTATGCCCCATTAGAGATAGACCAAATTCTAAGCTAACTAATTCCCATGTAATCAAACAGAAGCTATGGGAAATTCAATTAGAAAACTATGAATAATGATTAGTTCTGACATAACCAGTTTATATACTAATATTCCCATTAATACAGCTCTGGAAGCAGCTAGGAATGAACTAAACATTGATTCTGAACTCAAAAGTAGGACTAAGCTCTCGAATGATGAAATAAAACTAGGTGCTCAGTTATGTCTGACTTTTGCTGTATTCAAATTCCAAATTAAACTATATAAACAAACGAATAGGGTGACAATGGGATCACCAATATCCCCAACAGTGGCAGACATATTTATGAATAGTTGCGAACATAAAGCTCTTGGAACGTTTAATCCCGCTACTCCTAGGTTATGGTGGAGATATTTGGATGAACATTCACCTTATTGAAATCTGAATATATCCCTCATTTTCACGCATATAAACTCAATAGCAGACGGAATCCAACTCACTTCTGAGTTAGAAGACGAACAGAGTGACTTGGCTATACTAGACTGTAGAATAAAAAGAAAACAAGATGGTGGGTTAGATACTAGCATTTATAGGAAACCAGACTTTAATTCATCCAATCCAGAATCGGTAAAGATAGGTTTAGTTAAATGTCAATGTAATAATCGGACGAGGAGCCTAACTAGTAAGCCAGAAGATTTAAATAATGAAATCAAACAAATAGTGGAAGTATTACAATTGAATAAGTACCCACCAAAATTTATTCAGAAATATATGAAGAACCATAGAAAAATTAGATTAGTAATAAAAATGATGGAAATACCGGAAAAAATATAGAATTCAAAACCTCTGTAGTACTGTCGTATAAAGAAGGAACTTCAGAAGTCTTATGTAAGATTCTCAATGAGGCTGGAATTAGGGTGGCACTTAAACCAACCAACGAACTCTCTCAGAGATCAACTTTGTAAGCTTAAGCACCCGCCCGACTGATCCAATTAAGAAAAATAATATTATTTACCAAATACCATGCAATGACTGTTGCTGAGGTGAATTACATAGATCAAACTAGTAGATCGGGGTCAACTAGATTATCGGAACATAAAAATTTAGCTAGACCTAGAATAATTGATCCTTATGAGTTAAACATCCTTGAAAATACAGAGCTCAGCCACTGTACTGCATTCACTTGCATGTAATCACAAAACAGGGTGTGTGGGACAGAGTGAAAGCATTAAAAAGTGAAATAGTAAGGTGGAGAGAATCTTTGCTAACCGATTCAATCGGAATGATGCAAGGCCTATACCGAAGATATGGAAAGTGGCAACAAACAACAAGGAGAAGCTGGAGAGACAGAAAGAGAGGAAATATATAAAAGACAAATTGTGAAGCCATGTGACTAGATTGATTGGTATGATTATGAGCAATAATTTATGCTTGAAACGTCATCCGGTCGTTAATACTGCATCACTGTGTGATATTTAAAATAAACTTATCTAATATGGAATTACATTCTACCACACTGCCCAAGTTCTACACTTACACTTATGATGTAAGCACTTTTGAGGTATCCCCAGAACGAATGTATCTCATATAATCTCGTTACTTTGGTTATTTTAGCTCAATTCAAGGCTATAAATTAAAATAAACATATGAGATTATTATAATGACACTATTAGAAAACTGCCTATTAGCACGCTTATCATATCGACCTCAACTACCGTAAACTCAATTCACAGCACATCATGATGGAAATGTATATTTGTATCATAAGTTGAAAAATATTGGGTATTCAATTTTACACTGACTGTAAAATCCGAAACTGAGATTGTATAATCACGATTATCTGAAGGTTTCCAATACTTTCCTGAGGATAGAACTTAAAACACTAATTTTCGGTACCAGAGTATTATCTACTAGCTATTGAAACATTTGTATAAGGAGCCTATAAGTCATTAGAGACTGACTGTGACTGTTTCACCCTTCGAATCAACACAGGATTCGAAAATATAAAGCTGACAATTAAGTTTAAGTGTATGGATTATAGTGTATGTAAACACGCATTCAACGTTAATGACATGAACGAAATAAAGTTAAATGCGTCGGTGGTACAGTGGTTAGGACTCTCGCCGACCATGCACATGGTCCGATGTTCGATCCCCTGCCGACGCACACCCGATATCTATGGTCGGCCTGCAAAATTTGGGCTACCGATATCCATGCTGAAAATTCCATACTTGTACTGAAAATACGGTGTGGCATCAAGCTGTAATTAAAAAAATCCTATTAGGTAAATACAAGTGCAGCTTTTGCATATAACACATGTCAGTATTAGAAAAATAAACCAAAGCTTTCGACGAAATCCTCAGTAATCATTGATTTCGATCAGATAACTAGTTTCACACTGACTGTTTAAGATTGTCACATTACCTGAATGTCTTGTTTGACTTGATTTAAAGATAGATTCATCTCGAGATGGAGCGGCTGACTGGTTGTCTAGGCGGTCAACTACCAATTATTTGAACAGGGGTTCTAAGCCTCTTTCTATTTACTACGGTTTGAGGAGTCAGCTATCATTACTCTAGTTTCTTAAAAGTTGGGTGGCTAGCTGCTTTAAAATAATACTGTTATAATAGCTTTATTCCAAATAGTACTTTTGATACAATGTGTTATTCTCAGCACATAGCACGATAGTACATCTAATTTTCTCCTTTCATTTACATAGTACGGGGGAAAAATAACTTACAGAGCGTCTAAACTGTTGATAATGTCGATAGAAAATATGAACGTAAAATTAAAATCAAGCAGAAATAGTGACAACAATATGTAATAATTATAGAAATAGTAGAAGGGTCCGATAACTTACTGTCCGACAAGCCGATAATCACCAATTTCTTGCATGAGTTGGCTTAGCGACATCCCATTCACCCTACCGACAGTTTTTAGTGCCCTTAGCAGTGTAACAAAGTCTTTCTTAAGTGGCCGAGAAACGATTAAGAGGGAGCAATAAAGGAGAATAGGTAGAATAGAAGAATTAACAAACTGTAAGAACACAAACTAAGTGATACCAGATTGTCTTAACTTCCTTGAGCAGAAGGTTAGATGAAATATCTTTCCAGAAATTAACATGATGTGGAAAGATCAGGAAACACCGGAGCAACGACATAATTCAGGGTATTTAACATTCAACTTAGTTTCAACTTCTGTGGCATCTATGGTAGAAGAATCATAGGAATGAACCAATTCATGTAAATCACGTTTGTTGTCTCAAAGTGAAGTGAACAGTCTGACATTTAGATGAATTTAGCTTAAGAATTTCTGACAAGGACCTCATTTTGGAGCAGTCTGACTGAGGTATCATCGGCAATGAGAACAGTCAGATTATCGGCATACTTGACAAAATCAGTTTCATCAGAATGAGGCTAGACATGTAGGAAGAAACAGAGCAGATAAGGAAAAAGATTGGCACCTTTAGAGACACTGACTACAGTTGGCAAAGCAGTGGAAAACCTCCCAGTATAATACACAATTTACTGCTTCCTATCAGAAAAATAAGAATGCAACCATTCATTATTAATCGAACATCCTGTTTGTTTCATAGCAAGCTTGTTTAACGAAAGAAGCCTAGATACAGACAGAGTCAAAGGCAGATTTGTAATCTAGGAAGGCAAAATAAGAGTTCTTTTTTCCACATTTAAATTAAGCTGTAACTTTATTTATGTATTTATTATCTGTTAACTTTTATAGGCGAAAAACCGTATATTTGTGAATGGAGTCATTGTAATCGAAAATTTGCACGTTCCGATGAATTATCACGTCATCGTCGAGCGCATACAGGTGAACGGAATTTCATTTGTCAGCGTTGTCCTCGCAGATTCAGTCGTAGTGATCATCTCACGAAGCATTTAAAACGTCATAATTCACCATTAAAATAATCACATACTCACACACATAGAAAGAGAAAAGTGCAAACAGAAATCAATATCATCATTATTTTTTGTTTTTTTCTTTTCTATTATGCATCATCTACCTATTTGTATCTGCTGACTTGTGTCGTCTTTCCAATTCAACTTATCTTGTACTTTTCTTTTTTTTTCTACACCTGTTTTTTATTTTTTCTTATGCCTCATACTGTGTGTGTTGCGACAAGTCATTGTAAAAAATCTCGAAGAGTATTCATTGACGCTTAGGTAAACATTCTGATCATTTTGCATTTGACTACCAGAGTGTACACTATATGTGTTCCCCAATTTTTTTTAAATTCAATAAATCACTTCTTAGAGGACATCATTCTTTTTTGTTTCTTCAACAATTCTTCTCTTTAATGTGATATGCATATATATATCAGTGTAGATTATGTCACGAGGCAACATCAACTGAGCACTGGACAGATGTTTCATCCTGGCTTGGGACCGCTCAGCGGTTCAGTACTCACAATATTACCAAGAAGAGTCCCAAACTAGGATGTAACAGTTGTCTAATGCTCCTTGGCTTTTATTAGTCCCTCTAACTGATGATCCTGATTCGCGACGAAATCTACCCTGGAACTAATCCTCTCATTTGGGGAGGGTGGGGGGTGGAAAGGAAAGATAAATAATGTGAAGAATGAAACTGTAATCAGATTCCTTATCTTGGCTACTTATTGATTTTTGTACATCGTATGTTGCTGTCGTTATTATAATTATTATTATCATCATCATCATTATTGTTAATATTATTATTCCTTCTCTTTCTAATCTAAAAGTACTTTTGCTTTATTCTTCAAGACACTTTTGATGAATTGATGCACTGACTTTATTATTTTTTATTTTACTTATGTCTCATAATAACTCATAACTTTGCCTTGGAATGATCTTTACTCAATAAAACTGATTTCTCAATTGTCTTACCATACTGCTTTCACTATTATTATTTTTTGAAATGATCTACCAAAGATTAAGAAGTTATCATTGCAGCCATTGCGTTTTTCGACTAGGTCACAGACAACTTTCAGGTGTTATTGATGACGTCATTTACTTTTTTCTAATGATCTGCTGGGGATTCATACCAATTCGGTGTACATTTTTATTGATAATATCACTTTTATTATCATTATTGTCATCATCGGTTCTACAAGTGTCTCTTTCTTCTCCGCGTTCTCATTCTCTCTTTGCCCTCGTCCTCTATGTCTTTCTTTTGTTATATATATTTATATTTTACTTTTTGCGTGTATGTGTATGTGGGTTTTTATTCAGATATTGATTACGTAATCGATAAAATTTACTGCGAATAGTGTTGTGTATATATATGTGTGTGCGTGTGTTGCTTTTATTTGCACGAGAAAATGCTCATAAGTGATTATATCTACTATTTACTTAGTTCTAAGTGATTGAGAAACACGCTTTATTCATTGTGTCTATTTGTACTAAGGCTTTTTCGGTCAGATGCATGTGTATAAAGTGTGCGGTTACAGTTTTGAATTACCCCGCGTAATACAGTGCTAAATAATATTTAGTGGAGCGATTTGACCAGAATAAATTAGGTATGGTTATGTGTTCTGTATAAGAGTGAATCGTCGATTCGAATCTTGATTTATCCAGTGAGGTAATCAGCTTTCAAGCGATCCTGGAATATTTCTCTCTGATAATGATAAGCATCCTGAAGTTGTTTATTCCAGTATTCGAAGAATGATTAATGTGGTATATAAGTGGAACAGTCAGCATGTACATTAGTATGTGTTATAAAAACTCTACGAACAGTCAAGTGATTTCTTAGTCTTTATCTACTGTAATCATTAATACATGATTAAGTCAGATCCTAAAGTCTAACTTTTAGCATACTGACGAATATTTCGAAGGTGTTTGCAACCACATACTGAGTCATAACCTAATCGCTTAGCTCTACCTCCGATGTTAATGTCATGTGAAGGAAGTAACATCTTAAAAATCAATCAGTGAAGACTTTACAGCATAATGAGGATAATCAACTTGCCTATGTACATTTTAATAGTGCGCTAAGTTTCATTTTGATTCGATCACATTTCATAGATTCAATTACTTCAGATTGCTATTTTCATACATTAGCAACGACAGCGTCATATAAAAGCGCATCTTATTTTGGCCTCGATACTAGGAAATACCATAATCACTACCAGTAGACAACAGTGCCTATAAAAAGTGAGGCGTTAACTGGACTAGGTGAATGAACGGTCATAAGTTTCCCTGAGATATAAAACAGTTAGGAATTACAACACCCCGTGAAATGTCGTCTGTAACATCCTATAGGGTTCCGATGCCCATTTCTGTTTAATTTCAGCACAGATGTACTAACGGACTTAACCCTAACTGACTTCAATTACTCAGGAATTGACTTGCTACCAGGGAGGGAATAATTTTGTTGACTTAGAATATGCAGACGATGTAGTCCTTCTAGGTGAAAACGCTGACAAAAATGCAGAGTCTTCTGAACACCTAGAGCAGCAATCTGTGAATGTTTGACATGCGATTCACCCCGCCAAATGTGAGATGATGCTACAGGATTGGATTACATTGACTCCTAGCTTAGAAATAGGGAGTGAAGTGGTAGAGCGTGTTGACTATCTCACTTATTTGTTGAGTTGCATCAGCCTCAATGAGTTGATGGCTGACGAAATCTCAGCATGGATACAGAAGGCTCATATGGCACATGCCTGCCGAATTACGCCATCTCTGGCTTGGCAGACGTGATATACGGCTACCGACCAAAAGGCGTGTATACCGCTCAGCAGTTCGCTCCGTCCTCCTTTAGGGCTGTGAGGCATGACCATTGAAAGGGGAAGATACAAAAAAGCTAGCTACCTCTGATCAAAGGTGTCTGCATTCTATCTCCCTTACTAACTGGTATAATAAGGTGAGCAATACTGAGGTAGGGCCTTAGTATAGTGCTACGTAAGTGGGAGGGGAAATCAATAAACAAGGCTGTGAAACTACGTCGACTGAGATGGTTAGGCTATGTGTTACGTATGCCTGGGCATCGCCTTCCACAACGGGTAATGTTAGCTGACATAGAGTCAGGTTAGAAAAGAGAAAGCTAATGGTGGTCAAACCAAAACATGGCTTCATCAGTCAATGAAATCCACAATAGTTAATTTAAGCCACCCAGTCACGTAGGGAGGTGTAGACTTCCTAATTTATTGGGGTCCTCGGGATGGTAAAACCCAGCGGCTGGAGACAATGGGTGATGTGGCTCAAAATCGTTCTCAATGGCTAGCGCAGATGCATTCACTCTTTGTGATTTCCTATGTCCAATAAAACTCTATTGTTCTTCCATATTACCATTCTTTTTGCCTCAAACTTCTGTTTATTATTTGTCTTTTGAATCGCTCTTGTCTTCGCTTTGTATGCTACATGGAGTGTGGCGACTCGAACTGCTGCACATCTGTGCAAAGTTCTGTGTTGAAACCAGTCAGTCTATAGGGTTTTTGGTCACAATTATAGTTTCATCCTTGAATATAGATAAAGCAGAATGAATAATTTATTCGGAAAAACTATAATTTCCAAGAGTTGATTTGTAAGTATTTTTCGAGTTTGACCACGGATTGATATCATTTAGAGAACCATTGGAAACCACCACCAGAGCACTGGACAGATGTTTCATCCCAGCTGGTGAATCATTGGCAGTACGTACCCACTGGGTTTCGAACCCAGGGCCTTCCCATTACAAGGCAAGCCCCTGGACCGTTCAGCCACTGGGACGCGATGAATTGGCCCATGAATCCTAGCTTCTACCAATTTGGGATTTTAGCGCTACCATCAACCAATATCATTTGTCCTCACTCCTCACTGGATGTACCTCACTGCACAACTCAAGGAAACTCCGTCCTGTGTCAAGTCACTAGCGAGCATCAGATTAATTTTCAAGAGTTGATTTGTAACTACAGTTAACAGAAGTTTTCCATAACTCCTTCCCCATTGTCTACACTTGTTAATCCATTGACGTCAGTATACAATAGCCAGTAAAGATTAATAAAAATTACATCAGAAAATATAGTATGGTTCTTATATACAAAGGAATAGCAGTAGCAGCAGTACATATTGTTGTTAGTTAGTTAGTTGTGATTATCGTTTAAATGCACACAAAATATACTGTAAATAACAACATGAGTAGAGGTAAAATAACTGAATAAAATTAACTTATTCAAGTGTCAGTTTGCAAGGATTTGATTGGTTACGGGATTTCATCATGAACTGACATTGGTTAAAGGACCATTGGAAAACCTGGGAGTACTGGACATTTGAATATCAATCTGATGCTCAATAGTGACTGGTCCTATTCAGGCAGGTAGTTACCTGGGTTCTAGTGAGAAGTCGTGACAAGTGGGGTACAGCAGGTCGGGGGTGTGTGGACAAATACTCGCCGCGGATGACATTGGCTAGTGGTCGTGCCATATCATGAAATAGCAGAATTCGGAATTCATAGACCACTGGATCGGATCCCAGTGCCTTAATGGTCTACGAGCTCGCTTGCCTTGTAATCAGAAGGTCCTGGGTTCGAACCCTGGCAGTGTGTGCTTACTGATGAAGAGTCCAAAGCTAGGACTAAACAGCTGTCCAGTACTCCCTATAGGTTCTCCAATGGTCCTCTAACCGACGTCAGCTCATGGTGAAATCCTGTAACCACATTCCATCATCACCGAGGTAGACTACTTCTCACATCGATGGTAATCAATACGAAAAACACCTAATCTCTGCATCAAAAGAAAGTCTAGCCACTTTGTTAACCTTAGTCATCAAAAAGTCAGCATCTTTTCAGTAAGCATTTGTTGGTAATTAACACTTTAAACCTCTGTTCTACTCTTTCACCCCCACCCCCGTTGTTTCAGTAATAAATATTCTGTTTGACCATTTATGATTTCATGACCTTTCTATTAAGTCTATTACCACTAGTTATTTTCTGAATTTCACGTAGCACTTTTCACATTGCTTATTACAATGACATAATCCTATTCTTTTCTCCTCATTAAACCATTCTTTACTTGATATCTGTTCACTAACGTTACTATCGTGTTTTCAACATACCATTATTATTATTGTTTGTCTTCCCATGGACTTATACGCAGCCTATTGTATTTATTTGTTTGCAGTATTGATATTTCCTCACCCTCTACTGATTGTAGCTCACGCCCCTTGAAACTTGTACTTTTGTTGATTATAAGTACACAAACATTTTATTTTAATTATCCACTCTCATTTCATGTTCTCATTGCCTGTATATTTTCCATGCATTTAAACGATAATCACAGTTAACTGATAACAATAATAACTATTCCATTACTCCTCTACATACTTGAACCACATTAGACTTTCAGATATAATTTAAAGTGTATCTTAATATCTATAACCATACAGCTTGAGAAAATCTGCACTCAGCATAAAGAACAAAATTCGGATTTTCAACACCATTCTTCAGTCACTTCTTCCATACGGGTCAGAAAATTGGTGCATCACGAAAAGCATAACCAACAGGCTTCAGACTTTTATTAATAGCTGTCTTACTGAAGATGAGACGGCGAGAAAGGAATCGCATCGAGAAATTCTGGGAACAAGCCAATCAAGAATCAATTGTTTAATAAATATGCAGAAGAAAATGAAGATGGGACAAATACACACTAAGAAGACCGCTGGGTGACATCGCACACCAGGCCCTCGATTGGAACCCGACGAGTTGGGCGTGGATCCAAGAGTAGTATGGAGGAGATCATCTGAGGAAAGACTACGGGTAATCATGGGGCCGGCTAAAAAGGACTAAATGGAACAGGATGAAATGGAGATGTGATGTTGAAGCTCTATTTTCAGCTCAGAAGGAACCTAAAGAAATAATAATAGCTTGATGAAGCTGTGGAAAACAACTGTTCGCAGGGATTATTCTAATTATAGAAGGAATAAGGCAAAACATTTAAAGGAGAAATTATAATGGATTATTATAACAACACAGTTTCAAGTTATCAGACCGTTTCGTTTCCAACTTGTTCATTT